TTTTTCCTTATTGTTATCGTTTCGTAAAAAATAAATTCATTTGATCAATTATGTATTTTTCTGAATTTCTTGGAATTTTTGATATTACGATGATGATTTGTTCACATGCTATTGTTGTTTCGAAGAAAGTTCATCTCTTAAACATGTCAACTAAAAGAAAATTTCTACTCGATTGCACAATAATAATGAACCTTTTAGTTCTAAAATAGAATAGTCGTTAAATTCTGTACAAAAATACTTTTTGATTTATAAAAACTTGTATACCAATCCTATATTCATATTAGTCCCATTGTAATGCTGTGAAATTACAATTATAATTAGATTGAATGTTCGTAAGTTTGTCATAATGTTGACTTCACTTGAAAGTTTTTTTACCATTAACATAAACAATACCATGTATTTTTTTTGTTCATGAATGAATAAGATATATGACTGTATCATAACGTAAAGCGCCATCTTTTCAAGTTTTATTGAGGGCTATTATGATACCGGATCAATATTGGTGAGTCCATATGATACCATTTGATTTCTTTTTGAAATAAGAGAGGAGAATAATAATTTAAAAAATAAAGTTCAACGATTGTCTTTGTTTTCGTTAGTATATCTCTATTTGAAGATGCTTGTTTTATTTGAAACATCAGCTGGTTATGCTATATTTAAAGTTTGTTTTTTTGTTAATCGTTTATTTTATTTTGAAAAATCTTCCTTTTTTTTTTTTTTTCTTTTAGTTACTTGATGAAAAAAAATTACAAGAAACACAAAATTTATATCTTGATTTTGAATCACCGGAAAAAGCTGCTAGAGTGTATGAATAAGATATTATTTTTTAGTTTAATATTTAAATTTCTTTTTTTGTTTTAGATTAAAATTAAAACATTTTGAAAAATTCGATGATACAACACAAGCACTTGCAGCAGCAACAGCAGCTGTTGAAGGAAAAATCTCTAAACCATTAAAAAAATTACTTAAACGTCTTGTTAATTCTGATGTACAAGAACAATTACTTGTTGCTGATTCTACACTTGGCAAAGCTATTAAAGTTTGTTTTATTATATTAATATAATAATATTATCATATATGAAAATTTTGTTTTAGGAAAAATTTAGTTTCGATTGTTTATGTAATAGTTCAGTACAAGATCTTATGCGTATTATTCGTTCACAAGCAGATAGTCTTTTACAAATCGATGAAAAAGAATTAGCTGCTATGCGTATTGGTTTAGCACATAGGTATGAAATCATTTCAAAAAAAAAAAAAAAATTATTGTTTACATTTAAAATGAATTAAATTCATTGATATAATTAATTTTATTTGTTGAGTTTACTCTATTGATTTGACTAAAATTAAGATCTTAACTATCAGTGATCATCATTGATAATAATAATAAGTAAATAAAAAAAAAAAATATATCAAATTAAATGTAAGATCTGATTGTTTGCACTGAGATGTTTTATTTTTTTTTATTATGTTTGCAACATATCATCTGTCTGTAATCGCAGGTGTAAACTGATGTGAATTTGTTAGTTTGTCTATGAAATAATTTAGATATTAATGATGTTCAATTGTTTTTGAATTGATAATTTTTTCTCCCATAGCTCATTCCTACAGAGATATTGCACTATTACAATATTTTCGAAAAAATAAAGTCTGATGTTGCTGAGAATAGAGTCTATCAGGTTCGAAATTTCGGATCTGCATCCAGCTAATACAAGAATCAGTGGCGGATTTAGCGGGGGCGGGGGGGGGGGGAGGCGCTTGGGACGATCGCCCCATGTCGATAGAGTAAAAATCGAATCTTTCTGGAAGCAAACGCTTGAAATAAAGTTGAAACTACCTTATTGAAGGTACAAAATACATTTTATGTGAATAATCGCCCCATATCGAAAAATTTCTGGATCCGCTGCTGACAAGAATTTTAGGCTTGAACCCAAAGAAGTTTGCTTGAGAAAGACTACAGCATTTGTTTAACGAGTTTCTAGACAAAAAAAAAATAATTTGATTCTTTATTATTTTGTTTGCTGATAATATGATTAAGTATAATTTTTTTTTTATTATAAAAATATTCTTAAATTTTTCTTTTAGTTTGTCACGATATAAATTGAAATTTTCACCTGATAAAGTTGATACAATGATTGTTCAAGCAATCTGTATATATATATTATTAACTTGTTAATTTTAATCATTTATTTATTTTATTTTTCAATAGCTTTATTGGATGATTTGGATAAAGAAATAAATAATTATATCATGCGATGTAAAGAATGGTATGGTTGGCATTTTCCTGAATTAGCTAAAATAATTCAAGATAATATTGCTTTTTGCAAGACAGTTCAACGAATAGGTTTATTTAATCTTATATTTTAATAATTGTTTTTTTTATTTTTTAATAATCAAAATAGGTTATCGAACACTTGCAGTTGAACTTGATCTATCCGATATATTACCATCAGATGTCGAAGCACAAGTAAAAGAAGCAGCTGAAATTTCAATGGGTACAGAAATATCTGAAGAAGATATTACAAATATTCGTCATCTTTGTGCACAAGTATGTTTAGTTGAATTGGTTTATATGAGAAAAAAATTCATGTCTCATGTTCGAATCTAACTTAAAGAAAAAATTACCAATAATCTATGATGATGTTAGTTACCGCCCCAGTCTGAATATCATACACAGGTTGAACGGTCCCATACTGAGATTATTGGTTTAATCAAAAAAAAAATTTTTTTTTTTGTATTATAAATATTTTCTTAAATAGGTTATTGAAATATCGGATTATCGTGCACAATTATTTGAATATCTTAAAAATCGTATGATGGCTGTTGCACCAAATTTAACTGTTCTTGTTGGTGAACTTGTTGGTGCTCGACTTATTTCACATGCTGGATCATTACTTAATCTTGCTAAGCATCCATCATCAACGGTACAAATTTTAGGCGCTGAAAAAGCTTTATTTCGTGCAATGAAAACAAAACATGATACACCAAAATATGGTTTAATTTATCATGCATCATTAGTTGGTCAAACATCTGCTAAACTTAAAGGAAAAGTTAGTCGAATGTTAGCTGCAAAAGCATCATTATCTATACGAGTTGATGCACTTGGTGAAGATACAGAAGCATCATTAGGTATAGAACAACGTGCAGATTTAGAAAAGAAATTTTCAATACTTGAACAAAATGCGGTATAGATAATTTATATACAAAAAAAAACTAATTTGAAAAAAAAATTTTTTTTTTTCAGACAAAACGTATATCAGGAACGGGTAAAATGCAAGCTAAATTTGAAAAATATCAAAAAAATTCGTATGTTATCATTTTGCTTTTTTAATTTAACTTTTTTTTTTGTAAATAGTGAAAAAGGACAATTTAATCAAGATCAAGCTTCAACATTGCCTCATAAGCGCCATTCCGATTTTGGTGGACGAGGTGGTGGTGGTGCTAATAAACGATTTAAAAGTGACAACATGAATAAATCATTTGTTGTTTAATTTGACCATAAGTGGTCATAATTGTTATTTGTTTTTTTTCTAATAAATTTAGAAAATAAAAGCAAAACCAATGAAAATAATTTTTACATTTTTTTTTTTTCAATCTATATATATATCCTGACTTCTCACTTGAAATACTAATTTCATAGAATTTCAAGTAGTAAACGTCAGGTAAAGAATAATATAACTCTTCATTCCAAAATAACCTTGTTGTGTTCTTTTATGAATAAGGTTAGAGGCATAGAATTGAGTACAAAAGAAATTTTTTTTTTTTTTGTAGTGCAAACTGTAATTTAGACATAATGTTTTATATTGATGGACAAACTCAAACATGACATCCGTTGTGCTTTCGTTATAATTATAATGTGTGTATTTATACAGGAAGATGAAACGGAAAAGAAATCTTTTTTTCTTTTTTCAGTTCCATATGAATAATAACTGGATGTCTTAGGGTTTATATTTATTTGAAGTTTTAGCGTAATATAATCAACAGAGAAAATCAGCATGAGTCTGTCAATAAAGACAAAAAAAAATACTAATATGCTTGCACGAAATGCCAATTCTTATGAATAATAGTTACATATAAATTATTTTTATTAAATATCATAGTAAAGAAACAGAAATTTCAGCATAATTTATATTACAAATTCATGTTAAAATCGCCGAAAAAAAAACAAACAAACTAAAAACTTCTATGATTTAACTAAAAGTATTGTTTTATTTATTAATAGAAATATAATTTTCAAATTTCTAAAAGTTTTACAATTGATTAGACAAATAATAATTATAGTCTATATATATATTTTTCTTTAATTTCTATTCTCATTTATTCAAACAAAATGCTTTCAATTTTTAATTCTATAGAAAAAAATTGATATTCGTAATATAAACGAAATACAAGTTTTTTTCAAATACTATATATAAATCTAGAGGAAGTCAAAATAACCCTTTTTTCTTTACTCTGACAATTTCTTGAATAGCAGTAAAAAAAAAAAAATTTTTTTTTTTTCTTCTATTGAAATACTATTCATCAATGTAACCAATGAAATATCTTCTTTTTATAAATATTCATATTATTTTTCTATTGGATGGAATGAAAAAGAATAAGAGAGAGAGAGAGAGAAAATATTTTCTTTCGCTCTCCATTCTTAAATTACCCCTAATTATTATCGATGAAACGAACACATATAGCTTATCGTCAACTTATTGTAAAGAAAAAAGAAACCAAAAGCAGATCATTATTATCATCATCATCATCATCATCATCATCAGCCTAATCTTTTAAAAAAAAAAAAGACAATTTACTCCCCAATTGATCGTTTTTCTTTCTTTGTATTGTATACATCAATGCATCGTCAACCGTAATTATCGAAGGGAAATTACGCTTACGCTCGTCTAACTTCATTAATTTCTTATTCATCGCTATTATTATTTCATCGTACAAAATTATAACTATCGAAATTATCCAAAACGAAAAAAGAAAAGAAAAAAGAAGAAGAAAAAAAAAAGAAAATGATGCATAATGAACCAATCCAAACACTTCCACCATCAAATGCATTTCTTGATTTTACTAATCAAGAACAACCATCATCAATAGATATATCAAATTCAACTAATCAACAATATTCAAATTTTATTCATAATTCATATCCAATATCACAAGAACAATTTTATTCATCAACATATCCATATCCATATAATATACCATATTCATCATTAACAATTGATTCAAATCTTGATGAAAAATCTCATTATGATAATCCACCAAAATTAACAATAAAAGGAAAAAAAATTCGTAAACCAAGAACAATTTATTCTAGTATGCAATTACAAGTACTTAATAAACGTTTTCAACGTACACAATATCTTGCTTTACCTGAACGTGCTGAATTAGCTGCATCACTTGGACTTACACAAACACAAGTAGAAGAATTGTTTTCTTGTTCTTTTTTTTCTTCTTTTGACGAAATATTCAAAAAAAAAATTTCTTTAATACTTTTTTTTTTTTTTATTAGGTGAAAATTTGGTTTCAAAATAAACGAAGTAAACAAAAAAAAGTTGTTAAAAATGTTAGTCATCATTCATCGTCGTCTTCCCAACCCTCTAACCCGATTTTATCACCATCACATCATCGTGCATCACGATCGATGAACAATAAATCTACTGATTCTATGTTTTTAGTAAAACACGAACAACAACAACAACAACAACAACAAGCAACATCATCATCAGCACCACCATCATCAACAAATTCAAATTCATTTATTATTGATGCTACAACATCATCATCTCCATATGGACATGTAATGGATTATACAAATCATCCAAATAGTTTTTGGTCATTACCACCATCATCATATGTTAATAGTTAGATGAAAACAAACAAAAAAAAAAACGAAGTCTAATTTTGAACAAAATAGTTGTGAAAAGTTTCTTTCGATGTTTTCTTTTCTGTCTATGTGTATTTATATGCGACAAAATAAAAAAAAAAAAAAAAACAAAATAAAATTTTTTTGCTTCATATTATTTAAATAAAATCGAAAAGAAAAAAAAAAGTAGAGAGAATAAATTTTACATTTTTGCTCTAAAGTTTTATGCTTATCAACTCCGTAAAAAAAAACTGTTCGATCTCTTTGTTCTTTGATCCTGTAACCCTTAGAACTAGAGTATGATAGTTTCAAAAATTATCCGGAACCGGAACTAAGATTCCGATATGGTTTCCGAAATATTACCTGAAATTGAAACTGTTAAATCATCAGACATATACAACAGTTTTTTACATCTATTTTGAAGAGTCTTTACTATTGAATTGTTAAAAATGAAGATTTCTCGATAAATTTAACGATTACAGGTTCTTTTTTTTTTTAAACTTAGTGGCGTAACTAGGATTTTGGCGGTGGTTGGGCAGAGCCCAATCTAGCCCTACCCTGGTTACGCCACTATTTAAACTGTCGAATTTTGGACACCATTGCATATTTAAGATGTGAATTATTTAATTAATTTGTCAGCTATATCACTAAAATTTTAGTTAAAACGTACCATGTATAATAAAAATAATTTTCAATTTAGACGCCTTCAAATCGATACATCGGATCTTCATAAGCTAATTTTCGATTCAATGTAACATAACCTTTTTTTTTTTTTACATTAGTTTATAGAAAATAGAAAATAATTTTTATTCTTTTCTTAATGAAAAATAAACGAAAATATTTTCAACGAAAAAAAGTAAAAGAATCCAGATTTATATATATGTATATGGCAAATCAAGTGTGATTTCATCACCTTCAAAAGGTTGAAGCTGTGTTTATGATCACAATACTATTGCACAGTTAAAAGCCTTGCGGCATGATGATTATTAAGTGAAGAGTGGAAAAGAAAGGACAATTATCTTCTCATTTCGATACTGTTTTTCACCTGATCTCTTCAATAGAGAGAGAGAAATGCTAATCTGTACTTTATTTCTGTCTCTCTCGACGACAAGAAACATGTTTTTAACATGAAGACATCTGCTCTATTGCACGCGTCCAATTAAAGATGATGATGTTCTTATTACAGACTTTCAGCTATGATTTCCGTTAAAGTGTTGTTCTTTTTTACCAATATATACTAATTAGAACTCCACATATATCTCCTCCTTTCCATTAGTCGGCAGGCAATTCTATAATTAGAATGAATCTGAAACAAAAAAAAAAGAAAATGGGGACTCGCTTTCTTTTAAACAAAATTAAAATATTAACGTTCGATTGAACATTTCTTTTTTGTTGTATTACTAATCGGTAGAACTACGACATCCTGATTAATGCTGATTATTATTTACTCTTTTGATCTTTACACCTATCGATGCATAGATGACATCCTAAAACAAAAAGAAAAAAAAAAAAAAGTAAATCTGTCTTATTATCATCTATATATGTATGTGTTAGTGCATTCATGATTTATTCTTCAAGAGGATTTAAAACTATTCGATCGATGTTGATATGTCACTATTGAAATTGTTTATGACAGGAAAGACAATATAAAGACTAATTATGTTTCTCGTGATAACATGCTGTGGTAGTGACTGTTACTTTTGATCAATGATTATATCGAATGAATGTAGACATATATATATATATATGTATATGACAAGATGAATTCATGAGAAAAAAAAAGTGTTATCGACAGATTTTGTTTTTCTTTTAAATAGAAAAAAAAAATACTGTATTTGATAGCTAATAATACTCAATAGGTGGTCTTCTTTGAATTAAGTGATCATATTTTATCTCAAATGTATGTATTTATTACGATTTTATTTGTGCATGTCCATAGTCAATTAACCTTGAGAAGACCAAAGTGATGTAATTATTGTTACTTTATTGACCGATATTCATCTCACTATGAGTTAAGTAAAGTGTGAAAAGCTACATTTGTATTGATTGAGAGGCGGGATAACAATTGAATCGAAGAATACTAATCGATATTGCTTAAGGCATGTTTTCTTTTGATTAGATATTTTCATCTATTTAACTTATGATTGATTATGGAATCGTTCAAAGAAAAAAAAAAGATAAGAAGTTTTCGTTAAGTAAAAATATGTTATAAGAAATTTATTTAAATCATTCTAATATATACAATTGCAACTTGAGGGGGTGACCATCAGATTTTGCGCGTATAGAAAACTTAAATTGGATAGTGTCTGTAAAAAAGAAAAGTGGATGTTATATACATTATCTGATAGCAAAGGATCTATATTTTTGAAAGTCTAATGTTTTGAAGAGACGTTGTTGAAAACTGTTCTAGTTGAATTTTCTATATGCACAAAATGTTCAGGTTAAAATTTGAAAATAAGAAATTTTCAACAATTTTATAACTCTAGAAAGAAATTCAATATCTTAGTCGAATCATAATAGGAACTGAAATCCTATTAGAATTTTTATTAGAATATGATTCAATACTTATTAGTAGAAAAATTAATTGAAATTGGAAGAAAACATTTGATGAAATTTTCTTGTTAGACAAATCATAACCTTTTTCAAATAAGATTTAAGAAAAAGAATATTTAAAAGTTTCAAATTTGTCACAAAAGGATATACTAGTTATTTTTATCTTAAAAGAAAAGATCAGATTTCTTATATGAAAATTATGCATTTCTATCAAAGTTCAATGCTAGTTTTTAATTAGTACATTGAGAAATACAAGCACTTAAAATTCTAAAAAATTCAAAAGTCTATTTAAGTTTATACATTTGCAAAATATATATTATTAGAAGTGAGATTTTTTGTAATTTTGTTTCGTCATTCAAGATTATTCTTAAATACAGATGCAATATTGATATATATATAAAACGTCTACTACATGGTCAATAATAATAACGAAAGATGTTGTTATTTCTACATGTATTTTTATTTTCTATATGATTGACGATTGATTTCTCTCACCAGGATTTTTATTTCATACATTTACAAATTTGAATGTTGATATTAATCTTGATATTCTCACGTATGGATCTTGTCAATACTTAACTTTTTCTTTTTGTTCTTACGAGGGAACCACCCGAAGTGTCAAAAAGCTTTTGAGCTGAAATTTTGCCAACAAGTAGGGATTTGACTGAGATATCGACTATTTACTATAATTTTCCTATAGGATCCTACTTGTCCGATAAAATCAAAGTTTTGAATTTAGGCCTGAAACTTTGCTCACACCAAGGCCCCAATCAGACAAGCTTGCCTACAAAGTTTCAGAACTCTGGGATAGACTATCTCCGAGATACTAGTATGTTAGCATAAAGACGCTTTTTTATGGATATAATGTTTCACATAGATATTTTGGCAGATTCATATCTCGGAGATAGTCTATCCAAGAATTCTGAAACTTTGTAGGCAAGCTTGTCTAATTGGGGCCTTGTTGTGGATAAAGTTTCAGGCACAAAATTCAAAACTTTGATTTTATCGGACAAGTAGGGTCTTATAGGAAAATTATGGTAAATAGTCGATATCTCAGTCAAATCCCTACTTGGGTCCATATCCTTTTAGACTTTTTCTAGTCTATGCATCCCCTACTTGTTGGCAAAATTTCAGCAGATCAAAACAAAATCAGTCATATATGACTGATAGTATGAATTTTTTTTTTACATTATGTGTCTCATCATATATTTGTAGTTGTATATGTATACATGTTGTTGCACAATATTAACAAATATATATACATAATGAAGTCAAAGGTACATTCATTTCAATTAAACTCAAAATGTAAAAGTAACAACATTCATGTCTGACAAAAAATAATTTCAATGTTTTCATACATTATTTGTGAAGTTTGGCCATCTTATTCTTAGCAATCGTGATGAATTATAACAATACTTTAAACAACAAGAGACGTTTTTATAGAACTTCATATGATCCCAAATATTGGTCATCAATATCTGATAAACTTTATTAATAATTTTTTCTTCTTAGCAATTCTGTATTATTATCAAAATATTATTCATGTAAACAATAGATCATGTAGTTTGATTATTTTGATTGTTTTCTTTTTCAGAATAATAGATGTTATAGAATAGCCGTTTGAATTCATTGGATATCTTAATCCATTATGCTGCCTCAGGATATACAAATTAGTATTAGCATATTTTTTTAAAAGAATTGAATCAGTTTACAATTTAGTTATTTTTTAAATAACAAATAAATTCAATGATTTTTGCAATTAAATAAAATTTAAAGTTAATGTCTTTTCATGTTATTATACTTTGATACGTAAGCAGATATGTCTAACTGTGAATGAATATCTAAATTCTTTGTAATCGAAAAGAAGGAAAAAGTTGTCATATATATCTCTTCAAGAACAATCTTAAACGAGTCTCTGATAGAAATTATTCTTGTCTAGTAGCATCAATCTTAATCTGCAAAAAAAGCAATTGACTAAGTTTTTTTTTCATATTACATTAATAATGTCTGTGTTAAAAACTCTCATTTCCATTCAAATCTGTTATATAGACTAAAAGAGCAAAATTATTTATATGCACAAGTATAGAAAATAAACAGAAATTGTTTATGTTACTTTCGAATTTCAACTGAAATATAGAAACATCAAGAACAATTGTTTTGAAGTATTTTTGACTGTGAACCAAACATTTTTCATTTTGAAATTCATCCATTTGAATTAACATCAGCAATTATTGAAATTTGATTTGAAATAGATACTGAAAAAATACAGAGAATCTTACTCTAACCTATTAACTACATTTCGAAACTATTATAGAAACACTATTCAAATAGTTTAACAAATGAATTATTGATAGAAACCGAAATTTCATAAATATTATTAGTCAATAAATACTAATCAATTAATTCGAATTGATACTATTATACTTCGGCTAAATCCTAACCTTGTGAAA